ACCTATTATTATGAGATTTCGTCCTGTAAATCGCTGCTGAAAGGCTTGGAAGCACCGTACGACGGTTTCTTCATCCTTGTTGGAAATCGTCAGCAGTGTGGATCTCACGAAGCACCAGGGTATATGAGGACTGCTCACCCTGGGGGCGAGTCAACACATATGACCAATCGATGTTCATTCCATACTCGAATGACGAGTGGCAAGATGCCAATAGTTAAAAGCGAATTACTCACAGCACTGGTTTGTGAATTGCGGCTGAACGCTGAAGCCTTCAAACTTTTAACCGGGATGTTGCAGTTTCCTCACTCCCTGCTTAAGATGGGGAAAATTTTTGGGAACGCCGAACGCGGACCTAGCCAAGTTGGCGGAGGTCGAGCATTGAACCCCCATACGATTGCTTCAATAAAACTGGCCCGTTGGTGATTAAGTGTCATGGCTCTTCATACATCTAGCGATGAAATTACCGCGAAACTTCAGAATGATCCCGTCTATTCGGCATCAAGGAGGGCACAAGTTCCTCGTCTGTAGTCGGCGGAAGCCGGTCAAACGAACAGTTCGCCGTGAAAAGTCCAAATTCGACACCAAAATGGGGACAAGTAGATACATTAATTTACGCAGTGAACTTATGTTCACACAACTGAACCGAAAATATCACCTGACCAGAAAAAATCGACCTCTTGGCAAGAACAGAATGTGGCTTTCAATAAAAAAAAACCCACGTGTATTTCGTAGTTCAACAAATGTCATTGATTTATCTACTGACAGTCGCAAGGTTCTGAAATTTAGTCACTGATTTGTCCTAATTTGTCCAAAGTTGTACGCGGTACGTTTTCTCCAACCAGAACGGATTCGAAAACTTTTTCCTCGGGTATCGGAACGATCTTCGGGTTTGGCCTTCCGTGACCCGTATACAATCACCCAAAAAATCATGCTGCTGAGGATACGTGAGTACACGCGTTGGTCCGCTGAGGCTTGAAACATACCGGGGTATCTAGTCCATCCATAGGCCAAACATCTCCCAATGGACTGTGTGCAAATGCGGAGTTCTTCAAACCAACGGCATTCGTCACACCTAGTCTCACATCCCGGCATCGACAACTCACCAGGGTAGACCAGCCTAGCAGGTACGCGGAATACGGTCGGTACGCTCGCCTATTCAGGTCGAGTTTCAGACAAGGCTGGTCTTGAAGCGATCGAGCAGGGATGAACAGACTGCAATCGATCTGTAGCAAAACGAATCACCCTTATTCTGGTTTACTTCCTTCCAATTCACAAGGAACTTGGATTACATAACCGTTAGTTTGTTTACTGAGATGGGCAAATTGGTTGCAAACGTTTCAAGACTAAATGAGATATAAGAAGATTGCCGTTAAAAAACCTGGATTCCGAAAGAAGTCATGGAAACACAAGCATCCGAATTCACAAAGTTTAGCCGAAGCACTCTGGCCCCGGGAAGGTAATCAGCAAAATCAGGAAGGATACAGTCATTCTGTCACCTTGCAAGATAAAACAACGATGTTTCGAACCTCGGAGCAGTATAACTCTATTTATTTTTGCGAATAACTGGCTGAAAAAAATAGATCAGCGGAAATGCACAAACACCGCATGCGAAATGAATACAACTTCAATTAAGCCCTCATTAGGACAGAGCGGATCACAGCAGCCTTAGTGTGTTACAATCAGTCCAGTCTGTTTGCCATACCGAATACTAATTGTTTTTCTGTTCGGTGAGCTCACAATTTGGTTGCAAACGTGAAGAAGCACACTTCATCAGTCAGAAGTCTTGATCTACACGAAGATTAACGAGGACCAAGAGTAAATCTAGAAAACGTTGAGGTCCTGGTACGCGAAAACACACCCCTTGCAGATAGGCTGATAAAAGTATGCTAGACCTTCACTAATTCAGTCAATCGAAGTCCAAAGAAACTAACCAAATCTACGTACCACTACGAGACAACGGATAATGGGAAGGATGTATCAGGTGATAAGAATGGCAATCGTGGAATGAGTCGGAGAGGTCATCCGAAAGCCCATCAATCAGGGAACCAGCCTCCCGTCAAACCATCAATACTGCCAGTCGCAACACGAGGCCCAACCCCTTTATCAACAAGGCATATAAACGCAAGCGTAGTACTGCTCAACGCCTATACGCTGACCGTCTACAAAGCACCACCAACTCACTATTCACTGATGACGTCACACGTTTGATGACGAAACGTTTGCAATCGAATTGCCCAGCTCACGACCGTCTGTACAGTCTGGGCTATCAACATACACCGCAATAGCAATTCTGAGTACAGTAGGGTTCGTTTTGAGAAAAAAATCAACTGTTCCATTTTTCAGCGATATGCTTCTTTTGATCATTCACGTGTTTCTGAGAGATTTCGTTGATTCTTCCAAGCGATATGCTTCTTCTGATCATTCACGTGTTTCTGAGAGATTTCGCACCCACAATAGGCAAAGACCAACACAAGACCTCAGGTTGTTCTAACGCAGTGAGAACCACGAATGGGTACAAAAGCCTCCTCTTGATCTGGTAAAGTGGTATCCAATGGCAGTCACAAAATCAACCGGTAACTGCGCTGAAACAAATAAAAAAGCACGAGGAACGACGTCATGTGCTTTCTGTGAAGTCAAATCCGTTTTTCTTATTCTGCAAATTACAATACCTGTGGGAGCCTCAAGTGGTACCGTCATTTGGCAAGAAGTTAATCACTACTGGTGAAAAAAAGAATGCTTCACTGCGGAGTTATTTATTTGGAAATGCCAACTGAACAGTTACAGACTACTGGACAGAGAAGCAAAACTCTCATATGCATCTTGTTTAAAAAAACTGAATATCCTTCCTCGCTTTGAACGCGTCTTCCTGAACTTTTCTGGATATTCGTTGGCTGTTGCTCAAATCCAAGCATATGCTACAGAGCGATTCCACAAATTCCGTAATGGATTTCACTTTTCAAGAGACGCAAAGTGAATTTACGAGGGAACATACTACTCGCATGCCTCCCCATCAGTAGTATCACCGTTATACTGCGACCGTTGTGTTCCCTGGCTAAGCATTGAGTACGTCACCTTATCAGATGAGATACTGTGTCTCTGAGTGAGAGACACTCTTAAAGGCAAATCAGATCTCGCTAACAACCGCCAAAGTTCATTTGGATTTCCTCCCTCCTCAGGGGAGCCTTCCGTGAAAACAATTTGGTATTTCACTAATCTCGTGCAATTTGAGTTCAAGTAAGACATAAGGTTGACAGAAACTAGGGGAGTGCGCCTACCTGAGGAGCGCCAAGGACAGCTGTCCAAGATTTTTCAGCAACCTTATGAGTAGTCTGTTAGGTCCGTACAGCACATCGTAACATCTCGAATGTCGTGCCAACTGAAACATGAGGCAGCCTAATGCCGCACATTCAGTTGCCTAAAATCATGATAAAAGATATACACTAATTTGCAAATCAATTTGGTTTTCATGAGAGATTCAACTGAATCTCTCGTTTATGCTACTCTACAACTGAATGTGCTGCACACAGGCCGCCTCATATTTCAGTTGGTACGATATTCGAGATATCATAGTACACTTTCATGAAGGAAACTACTCACAAGGTTGCTGAAAACGCTTCGACAGCCCACGACTGGTTTCGCTCTTCTTGGGGCTCATCAGGTAGGCGCAGTCCCCCAGTTTCTGTCAACCTTATGTCCTACTTGAACCCAACTTGCACGGAACTCCCTCAATACACCGATTCGGTTTTGACGGGAGAGGAAACTAACCTGAAACCCAAGTGAATCTCTTAAAAAACATCATAAACGAGAAATTCAGCTGGGTTTCATCTGAGTCTCGTGCCAAAACCAAATTTGTGTGCAAATGAATGTTTCGGCACGCACTGACATAACTGTCTAACCGTACGTCTAGCGTACATCACGAGTTGGCATTCCGTTTCTGATGCAAGCTGAGAACCAGGACAAAAATCAGACAGTGGAAAGTATTGCCTTGAATGTCTGGTTTACCTAGCCGTTCGTTCATCTTTATTGGGCCTTAGGGATTCTCTATGTATCTTTTGGAGATGAACAAAATCAATAAATGAAGCAAGTAAACAAAGTTGACACTGAGAAATCGCAAATTTTTGGCTCAGATATCCGAACTACTTCCAATACAATCTAAATATCCTCTCCAAACGATTGGCGCTGCTTGCTACTTGTCATTTGATGCAGTTAGAGTTTATTGAGAAAATGGCATACGGTCAGATCTGATTGAATTTGTTTGTGTTGTAAATCAAGCAAACCGCAGACAATTCCGTAATTCTATTTCACTTCTGACTGGTTGCATTTATCGATTTATGAGTAAACATTTTCAGCTGTTATCTTGTGCACGTTCATCTGTCGGCGAAACATGCACCACGTACACAACGTTTCTTTCCGAGTTGCCGAAACCATATGGATGTTTGCCCAGCTGAATGTGACCTGCTCCAATCGATTTCAGGTGATTTTTCAAACCTCGCTGTCACTTGGACATGGGGGGTAGCCTAATACTGTGGGTGTGAATTCTCGCTCAGCAGCTTTTTTCTCGCCCATCTTTGTTACGCTACGAATGAGTCATACTAGGTTGGCCAGAAGCAACACCGTGTTTGATACGGTCGGCTGGGCACGGCAGCATCGAACTACCCCTCAAGGTCGGCCACAAAGACCGCGGTAGACCAACTGCCACGGTGGTTGTACGCAATCGAACACACATCAAACCACCTTCCCACTAATGAATCTTTCTCAGCGCACACAAAATGTCTGACTTGGTGCTGAATCGCTGTGCTCCAATTGGTCAGCAAACGAAAACAAACAGCAAGAGTGGAGAACAGTCGGAGGGAACAGTCCGTAAGCTGACCATGGGCCAATAGCAGACGCGGAGTAATAACGCACCATATATGGTAGTGAAGTGTGTGAATAAATAAGACAGTGCAGGTGTCGGGCAGGTGGAAAGGATTTGACTTGGGCGGAATACGGGATACTAAACAATGGCGGACGATGAAACTCAGGCTCTCGTTGTGGACAATGGTTCGGGAATGTGCAAAGCAGGTTTTGCTGGTGATGACGCACCACGTGCTGTCTTCCCGTCAATTGTTGGACGTCCACGCCACCAAGTAAGTCAGTTCATTGATATACGCAAAAAATACTATCGATAATTAGCGCTACGTTTACCTGCATTCATCACCACTCTCCCTCTCCCGCTCTCTGTCCGTCCCTCGATTAGGGCGTCATGGTCGGTATGGGTCAAAAGGATAGCTACGTTGGTGATGAAGCCCAGTCCAAACGAGGTATCCTCACACTCAAATACCCAATCGAACACGGCATCGTGACCAACTGGGATGATATGGAGAAGATCTGGCATCACACTTTCTACAATGAGTTGCGAGTCGCGCCCGAAGAGCACCCCGTTCTGCTCACCGAAGCCCCGTTGAATCCGAAAGCCAATCGAGAGAAAATGACACAGATCATGTTCGAAACATTCAACTCACCAGCCATGTATGTGGGCATCCAGGCTGTGCTGTCCCTGTACGCGTCGGGTCGTACGACCGGTAATCGTGCTCGACTCTGGTGACGGTGTGACACATGCGGTACCCATTTACGAAGGTTATGCGCTTCCACATGCAATCATCCGTCTGGATCTGGCTGGTCGTGATCTGACTGACTACCTGATGAAAATCCTGACCGAGCGTGGTTACAGTTTCACGACAACGGCCGAGCGAGAAATCGTGCGTGATATCAAGGAGAAGTTGTGCTACGTGGCTCTGGACTTCGAGCAGGAGATGGCGACCGCGGCATCGAGCTCCTCACTGGAGAAGAGCTACGAACTGCCTGATGGTCAGGTGATCACGATTGGTAACGAGCGGTTCCGTTGTCCCGAGGCTCTGTTCCAACCGAGCTTCTTGGGTATGGAATCTGCCGGTATCCATGAGAGCACGTTCAACTCGATCATGAAGTGCGATGTGGATATCCGCAAGGATTTGTACGCGAACACCGTGCTGTCTGGTGGTACGACCATGTTCCCTGGTATTGCGGATCGTATGCAGAAGGAGATCACTGCGTTGGCTCCGAGTACGATGAAGATCAAGATCGTTGCCCCACCGGAGCGTAAATACTCGGTTTGGATTGGTGGTTCGATCTTGGCTTCGTTGTCCACGTTCCAACAGATGTGGATCTCGAAACAGGAATACGACGAGTCTGGTCCAGGTATCGTTCACCGCAAATGCTTCTAAGCTGATGCAAGCAACCATTCTGTGACATGGCTTTCAGCAATTCTTCTATTTCATCATTTATGAACTTGCCTAATATAATGCGATCGGTTGTGTATGGTTTTTGCTAGGCAATATGGGGGGTAGCTAGCAGTGAGGGAGTGGTTGGTACCATTTGTCAAATCTTCATTAAAGTAGCGTGGATATACGAAGAGAGCGTCAAGTCATGGGCTGTCTGATAGACCCTGGGAGAAACGTCACCAGTGAATAGGTTCCATTAGACCAGCAGTAGTTTGTCGCTTCTGAGAATGGTCTCTACAAACTCTAGTATGCGTGTTTGTCTTTCAAGGTCGGATCTCCAGGATTGTCGTGACTGTTTTATATAAAATATACGGTTGGATAATTGTCCACATCATATGTGGCACTCCACCCCTTTCCAAATAGCATGAGCATTCACGCTGATCCAATCATTCACTCCAAATTCATTCAGATGCTGCATGGACAACGCTGTTCTACCTCTTTTCCCTAGTTGTATCATTCTATTTATTTGAGCAGTACACAGCCAGTGTCCTATGTTGCAAAAGGTATGGTAGAGACAATAAAACATGTAACGGTACGACTTTTGAAGGGAGTTCTATGACACTTCTGGTAAAGACTGTAACGGGCACTGCTACTCCGGTCATCGGGGGTGAACATTGTTCAGCTGAGGCTGATGTGATACTTTAATGGATAATCGATTTTTAAACGCAAACAATCCCTTTACTCACATATTTTTAGTGTCGCTTTTCAAGCACATCTTCCATCCGTTAGGAACTTCCATTCTATTGCGTTTTATGTAAGCCAAGCCGAGATCGCTAGCTCAGTATAAGGGCAGAAGATTAGGCCCTACAGACTACTCGATAGTTTACCACGAAAGGTTGACTACAGCACAGTTTCCACGGAACTAGTGGTGATCACCCGTAAACATTGCTCTGAAGGAAAAGGCACTGAAATACAGTTTGCCGAACCAACTAAATCTGAAATCACCTCAGGGACATTTTATCTTCAGGATGGTATGTCGAGATAGATGAGTCTGTTTACGATGCTGTCGATGGGATTGGAGAAGCCGATGACTCACTCCAAAGTGGTCTCAGGAATCCGTCATAGGTTACTCCAAGGAAGTTTGTACTTATTTGCCTGATTTAATTTCGGGAACAAGGCATGACCAGTCTAGATCGATATTGTTCAGCACTCTGGATTTTCTGGTTCACATAACCATCGTTTGAACAGTCCTTCCCTGATGAAAACACATCAGAGGATGGGAGGCACTGGATTCGAGTTTCGTTCTTTTTAGAGCCCATTAGCAGTGAATATTCTTGGCCGTGTCGGGATTTGAACTCCGGACTGATCTGCAAATCCAGCGTGTTTCCACTATTCCACCGGCGACGAGTGTGAATTATCCCGTCTGAACAGGCGAACTTATTCACGATGTGATTCCGCCCCGCTCAACAGTTAAGGAAGGTTCAGGGCAGCTGGATCGAGGCTGTCGGGGGTAAATCTAATGAAAAACCAAACGGAGCTGTAGACGCGAACGTTTTGCAAGAACAGGAACGAGAAATTAACTCATTTGCAAATCAATTTAGTTTTCACGAGAGACTCAACTGAAACTCTCGTTTATGATATTCTATAACTGAATGTGCTGCACACAGGCCGCCTCATGATTCAGTTGGTACGATATGCGAGAGATCGCAGTATATTTTCCTCAAGGAAACTACTCACAAGGTTGCTAGAAACTCTTCGACAGCCCACGACCGGTTTCGCCCTTCTTGAGGTTCATCAAGTAGGCGCAGTCCCCGAGTTTCCTTATGTTCCACTTGAAGCCAAGAAGGACGAAACCGGTCGTGGGCTGTCGAGGGGTTTTCAGCACACTTGTGAATAGTTTACTTCATGAGAACAGGAACGCTTTGAGTGAGCAAACTGGTCTATCTAAACCCGACTTTTTGTTCTATTTTCAGTGATAAGACAGCTTTAAGCCTAAAAACCCGTGCGGGTTACTGTGCCAACATTTGAACCTGTAGTGATCAAGATCTTTGGGGGTCAGCTGCCTGCCGAACAAGCTAACACCGATTTTAATTGAAATGTTCAAAAAGAGACTCCTTTAGCTGTATACTAGGAGATCGCGTGGAAAGCTCGGCAACGGTGGTGAGATTCTTTTCAGCTCAACTCGTTGTTGGGATTATGTGATCAAATCTCGAAATGCTGAGTCCGGAGATGCTATCCATCCCGAATAGGCCTCACAACCATTTAAGTGGTACTTTGGCCATTCGTTTTATGCCGGTAGAACTGAAAACACACGCCCACCCGCGATTCAAACACCTGGATAATCCGAACTAGGTATACAAATACGTTTTATCCACCTGCTGACAATCGGACTGCTCATAAATGGTCAAGCTACCACAAATGAATGATCACTTATGCACTACTCATAAGGTTGCTGAAAACTCCTGAAAACATGAAAACCGAGAGATTCAACTGGGTTCCAGTTGAGTCTCTCGAAAAAACAAATTAGTTTGCAAATGCGTGTATATTCGCCAAGGATCACTAATCTTCGCATTCCAAACGACGTCCAGGTTATATTTTCGAATTATTGATTATTTCTGAAGAGCACGATCACAAAAGAGGCGAGCAATAGATGTGGAAGGATGTACTTGGGAAGTGTGGACAAAGGGGGGAATGTTCCATTCAGAGGCCTGTCGTCAATAGTTCCCAGTTCGGTAAGATGATTTCCAGGTATTAAAAGCTTGTTTTAGTAGCGCACGTGTTAAATCCGGCGACTGAAGAAAGGACAAATAATACACACTTTGCTTTTCACGGGAGGTTCAACTGTTAAGCCCCAACAAGGATGAAACCGGTCGAAGAGTTTTCAGCAACCTTGTGAGTACTTTCCTTTATGAAAAAATACTGTGCTTCCTCGAATGTCGTATCAACTGAAACATGAAGCGACCTTCGTGCAGCACATTCGATTGAGGAATATCATAAACGGGAGATTCAGTTGAGTCTCCCATGGAATCCCAATTGATTTGCAAATGAGTTTATCTGTCGAAATCAAGTAGAACATAAGGTTGACAGAAACTCGCGGATTCGTACGTCAGTCATAAGGAATCCATCATACAGGATCAGGTGTAAAGACCAATGACAAGCACATTCAGTGTAATTTACCACTCATAAAGTGCCTTGCTCGTGTACACTGTGCAAAATAGTGAGCAAACACAAGTCGCTGACTATGAGCTTAGGATGCTCAAGTCCAACAACAGTCTTGTGGGGCTGAGGAAAGCAGACCTTTCGAAATGAAATGATCATCGGTTGGTGAACCAAAAAATCAATCGCCCAATCGACGGACTGAGATGACGACGAGGAAGGAATCAGCAGCACTGCAGTTATGCTTGTCCTCACTCCACACAAGCACTGCGCGCTCATCAGAAATTGCGCTTATGTTTATCAAAGTTGCTCGGCTCACCTGAAAAGTGATCAGATCAGGCTTGAAGAAAGACATCGATGCAGGTGCTCTCAACTACTCCAAGACAGTGTATTTCAATCGGCCGAGACGTTTCGTGAGTTTCTTTGCAACACGCTTATGACGATCCAGCATCGTGATCCAGCAGAATTAGCACCAAATCTTATGGTTGACCACCAAAGTATTACCGTCCTGATCCTTCTTCACATCATCGTATTGATCTTAGTGCAAACACGTGACACATTGTACATGGTTTTACAACACTATTCCTTCAGCCTTGCGTGGATTAACCAGTGAAATAAGCCTGGAACTAACAGTGTTAGGGCAGCTTGAGCGAACTCTGGCGTTCCAGCAAGTATACGGATTGAACGACGATCAATTATCTGTTGATGTTTTTTAGCTGCTGGTACCCATATGGAAAATAATGGCTAGAATATAAGAAGGTAAGTGTCACTAGTTTTCGTTGTTATCTCTTAAATATATGGTTTGGGCTTCCCTTCCTATGTTTGTGTACAGCGATTCTGCTTTGGATCGAACCTCTTAGGGGAGAAATTCCCTCACCTTTCTAATCACTGAATCGATTTGAAAGAGTGCCCTGCCGAGAATACGCTCCATCACATTTCAAGCCGCACATTTAGGCCTATGAGAAACAGAATCTTCCACCAACTCGTCTTGGGCGTGTCACAATTGAACTTGTTAAACAGGTAGGATGGACAAGACAGTTTAAAACCCTGCGGTTGGCTTACTTTGATTAGGGCATCCGCATCAGAACTATGTCTCAGCCTGTGGCAATCCTGGCCTTCAGAACTAAGTCGCATTTTTTGCTAACCTGAACACTTTCTAGAATGTCCTATCTAATTTCCACAGAATTATGCAGGAACTTAACTGGGCTTTGCTCGGACACCATTTACGAATGAAGCAAACTCAAATTCAAAAGCGTTTTGTTTTTATGGGTTCTATTCATTCACTGACACGGAGCACTAATCATATGGGATATCGCGCGTCGTTTGTGTACATCTACGTACTTTTGGGACGTGACGGCAGCAACCAGGAATTCTCTGGGTATGGCATTCACACCATGAGTAACCTAACCTCCATGATTCATTTGGCTCCCCTAGCTCACTTCGCAAATGAGTATATGTTCGAAATCAATGAGCCACATAAGAAACCTGCGTAAACAGCGAAAAGTGGTTGAGAAAGAGTCAGGAAACAAACTGATGAATGTTCCAGAAGTTGTATTAAAATACTAAGAATCCTCTCCTTTTCCATTACACCTCGGAAACTTGACCTTGGCTCGATCCGAACGATATTCATGGCGTTTGGCGAACGGTAAATGAGTTGTTCAATAAATACAGTGCTGGATACCATCCTCGACTATTTCGACCTACGTCTTTGATGTTTTCATCTTGGGACTGATCAAGCATAGTATCATAGATGACAGTAATGGGGACGACATCGTGTTCGCCAAAAGTTCACGGCCCAGTGGACTTACAGTGATTGCCTCTGCCACCTACTGCCACCTTGTCGTCCC